TCCATCACCCGCCTCCAAACATCAGGGAAGGGGCTCTGAGACTGGTGGACGAGGGGCGGGGCGCGGAGGAGCAAGACTGGGCTCCCCGTAACGAGGCTTTAATGAGGGGAGCGCGGCCATCCTTTGTGGAGAAGCCAGAGAAGGCGGAGGCCGGGTGGCGCTCCGATGTCACTTCCTCCTTGCGGCCCTCGTGGATCGGTAGCTGGGGCCGCTAGGCCCAGTGCCCACTGCGGGGCTCTCTTGGGTCCGCACCACCCTGGCCCACTCCGAAAGGCTGCAGGAAACGCAGCATTTCCATGCAACAATGCAAACGCACTCATTACCATATTCTCAATATGCATGAAGAAAACGCGCACCGCTGGCCAAGCCCCGTCACCGGGTTCTGGCCTCGGTATCCAATAAAGCGACATATTCATCTCCCAAGATGGATGGGGAGGGGTTGCCGGGGAGGCAGATCAACGGGTGGACGGGGGGGGGAGGGGGGAGGGGGGAAGGGGGGAGTGGGCGGGGAGGAGAACTGATCTTGGAGAGGGAGAGATGAGAGAATAAACCCGAAGAGGAGAAGCTGAAAGACCAAGAAATGGAAGAAGGAAACCGGGAAGGATTAGGATGAAAGAGAGGGAGGAAAGAACGAAGAAATGCAGTGACAGGGGTGGGGGGAGAGGACAGCGTCACAAAGAGAATGAAACGGATTCATAAAGCAAGAGAAGGAATGAGCAGAATGGAGAAAAATGAACTAAAAGTGGTCGGGGAGGAAGTAGGAAAAAAGAACGAATTAGGAGCAAAAGAAAAAAATTAATAACCTAGTAATCAAAGTAGGAGAGTTCCACAGAGGAAAACAAAGATAGAGAGGGTAGCGAAACTGCCCGAGTCAGGTGGAAACAGGATTGTCCTGGAGAGGTAATGAAAAATGCAATCGCTTGCGCCTGGGCCAAGGTTTTCCATCCAGGCCATTATTCTGGGTGCTGAGCGTCGCGGGCCACTGGGAGACCCAGAGGAGCAGGGCCCGGTCCGGGATGCGCAGGGGTGGGGCGTGGGGGACAAAGAAAGAGCCAGCTATCCCGCCCGCTCCTCCTGGCGCGGTGCAGGCCTGACCCCGGGCCCACCGCGCGCCCCGCGACCCAAAGCCGCTGCAGCCATTCAGACCGAGTCTTTCCCGAGCTGAGAACGAACTTGGCAAAAGTTTCCTCCAAAGTTTCCCTTGTCGCTTTTCTGGAACCTGGGATGGCCTTCCAGGTCCTGGCAGCTTGTAGGAAGCCGCAGCACGTTCCTGGGAGGCTCTGGAGGCCCCTAGCCCGAGCCTCCTGGGATGCCTGCAGTCCGGATTCCTGGCCAAGTCTGAATCCCTCCCGGTGCGTACTCCAGGCCACGCACACTCCAGGTCCGTGCTGCTGCTAATAGCGGAGAAAGAGAACGCAAAAGAGAGAGAGGGTGAGGGAGAGAGAGAGAGAGAGAGAAGGAAAAAAATATTCTCAGCTCAATTTAAGTCTCATGGAAAGGGCTTACAACTGTAATTAAATCATTAAATTCTTGTCTACGCTTCACAGAGCGGAGAGAAATTAACTTCCCACCAACCTCATTTTCTATTTGAACATGAAATAATGATTTTCTGCCCGTCTAATTACAAAGCCAACATCTGATCAAGCCAGCATCCAGAGGGGATTATCGCATGCACGAGTATTAGACCTCATTACCAGCTTGAGTGCAAAATTATTACATCTTGTAATTGGATGGTGAGATTTATATACAGATCGGCCCGGTTTCTGTAAGATTGTAATTACAAGCTTCGTTGGTTAGCTACTTATCAGAACTTTGCAGGAAAACAAAACAAATGACTGAGGAAAACGAGCATTTCATTAACCTGTAACCCGAGCGCGGGGGGAGGGAGCAGTGGGAGCGCGCGCCACAGCGTCTGCAGGAAGCCGAGGGACAACCAGCCTGCACCGCCGCCGGGGGACTGCGGGCCTTGAGAGGAAAGGACAGAACATGGGCCTCTGCTTGGACACCCAAAGCATCCGCGGCTACCACCTCCCACCCCCACCGTGGACGCGCGCACATCACGGGGCTAGGCGAGGAGGGGACCGAAAAGGGGCCTGGTGACTTGGTGTTGTGTGCAGTGCGCGGCACAGTCCCCGAACCTAAACCAGGTGGGCCTCAGGCCCTGGGCACACGTCGGGCGCGGCTCCCGGTGCACCGCACGCACTGCTGTGTGCTCCACGCGTGTGTGGCAGACACCTTTCCATACACTCCCCGCGCCCGGGCAGAGTTCAGAGAGAGTCAACAGCGAGTGTACACAGCGCTTGGTGCGTGGGAAATGCTGGAAGAAAGAGAAATGATGGAGAAGCTTGCGCGCGTCTTTTCCAAATCAACTCCCCGTGCACCTGCTTTTTCTAAATTGCTCGAGCGTGTCCCTCAAGACCTATTCTCTTGGATTAAAAAATCCCTGGAAAAGGTTCAGCTACCTGCGGACCCGCGTCTTCAGTCTGGGAGCCCGACTCCACTGGCCCGGTCCATTTGGGGAACCAACTCCACGTCGGGACTCGGCTGCCTGGGACGCTGAGTCTCCACATGGGGTGAGGCTCTCAGGGCCAGGCCAAGGCTGTTCCCAGTTGGAGACAAGGGTAACCGCGGGACTGCTTTTTGCTCCCGGCCTGGGGCGCCTGGAGGGATCTAATTAAGCGAGGTACTTGGGTTCGCGTCTGAGTCTGGAGGTTCAACCTCTGGGCCAGGGGCGGCCCAGCCGGTGTGACTCGTTCCTGAGAACAGCCTCGCCCTTCCTGTCCTCTTTCCCGCCGCCCGCAGTACAACGCAGCCAGGTCGATAGCTGGTTAATGCGGAAGGAGCATCTCCGAGGCTTCTAATTGTTTTTTCTTTTTCTTCTGGGAGAACTGGATTAATTATTGGGGTTGGGGGGGCCTCACCCGGGCACTTACAGCGCAGCCCCAGTTCTCCCACCTCTGAATCTTGCTTTCGTCCCCCCTTTCTCCCCCACTTTGTGCAAACTCTAGGTAGGACTGAGTTTGTGGAGGCTCGAGTACAGACTCAGGAAAGATTTCGGGAAATAATGGTACCCTCGATTTTCTAAGATTTTTCGTGAGAAGGTGAGTCCAAGAATCCCTATGACAGGTTTAACCAGAAACGAAATCAGGCGCCGAGGCAGTATTTCGAAGCCAGAGCCGCCCATGCTGTCGCCTCCTTATAGAGAGGCTCATTTAAGGCCAACGCCCAGGACCTGGCAGAAGCGGGTGCGGAAAGTGTAGGGAAGCGGCTCAAACCCAATTCCGCCATCGAACCCGAAACCCGACGACCCCAAACTTGCCCTTCTTTCCTCCTAATTTTCTCTGCGTTCGCACCTATCGGAGCCGCCGACCAGTTCAAAGACCGGTAGAAAGTGGTGGGAGGTGGGAAATGGGTCAAAATTGGGCGTCCGCGGCGGGGGCGCAAGAAACTTTCATTCCGGAATTGGGCTCCCAGACACTCGGATCCCTCCACTCTGATGGAACTCAGATTAGATTCCTCAATCAGTGGTACGCGACCGGCTTCCTCCTAGGAACTGGGGCTCCTCACTCTACTGCCGAGTCGCCCCCCGTCCCCCCACCCCGCCAGAAGCCCCCGGGGCACGCCCGCCGCAGGCCTGGCCAGAGCCTGGGTCGCCGCCGCGGCCTAAAGCGCTTAGCCCCGAGCTGCATCAATTCTGGGCTTTTCGAAGTGGCTCTCGATTGCACGCCTTAATCCGCGAAGGTGGGCGCTTAGCCACTGATATTTCAAGTTTGATTTAGGAAATATCCCACTATAAAATCTAGGCCTTGCCTTTTCTTTCCCGACCCTGGGCGATGGGAAAATTCTCGCCAGAAGAAATCGAGTTGGTGCAGGAACCCGGGCAGAGGAAAGGGGTAGTGAAATGAGGGCTCTCGACAGACCAAGAATACTAACATAGAAACTTTTCGAAGTGCTCTCGGAAAGTTCCTGGGGCCTCCGACCTCAGGCTCCCTGCTCCTCCCCCATCCCGTGCCTGGTGCTCCAGAAACTCGTCGCAGGCTCCCCAAGATCCCTGGGGCTACCACCCTTTCCCCTCCACCCCCAGCCAAGCCCGCCATTTCCAACCAGGGATTTGCATCCGGGCACCCGAGGCGTTAAAGTTGCAAGTCGCAGATTTTGATCAAGTTAGAGGGCTACCTCCCCTGCACACCCCTCCCCCAGTAAGTGAGATGGCTTTTTAAAGTTTCATTCGGGTGCACCCCCAGCTCCACGCGCACTTTAGCTCCCTCCCTACGCTACTCCTAATGGTCAAGGGGTCCAGAGGTGACAACTGAAAAGGGGGCCCTGGCACCGCAAAGCCACGGAGCCTCCCTTGGTCCTGGGTCGGGTCCCAATCCAGAGTTAGCGCTGCGGCTGGGGAGCGGCCCCTTGGAGCGGGAAGCGGGAGGGGCGAGCTGACCCAATACTAACCCGCCTCCCCGCGCCTCTGCTCCCCCTCCCGGCGAGAGCAGGAGGGGGCGGGAAGGGACTCCCGCCCCGCCCTGCCCCGCCCAGCGCGCGGTAACCGCGGGGGTGGGCCGCCTCGCCTGCAAGGCGCCCAGGCGATTGGCGACTCCGGAGGAGACGCGAGGAAAAGTCGAATAAGAGGGCGCGACGTCAGACTCGAGATTTGGGAAGGGTGAAGGAGGGGGGTGGAAGGGCGGGGACGGACACACAGACACCGACAGGGACACACACCCCCCGCACAGCACCCTGAAGTGTCCACAACTTGAGGACGCCTTAGCTCAGGGAGCAGAGGCCAGGAAAGAGAGGAGGGGGTGGTGAGTATTGTGGGAGTAAAGAGAGAGATTTAAAAGAGAGGAGTCAGACAAGAAAAAGTGAAGGGAACAGAGAGGGGAGAAAAGGCAATCGTGGGAAAGGGAAGAAGAAAACGAAAAGAGAGTTTCCTGGGGTCCGGGACAGGGAAAAAGCCCGAAGAGCGGAAGCGATCCAGGGGGGAAGTGGAGCGCAGCAAGGGGAGGGGAGAGGAAAGGAGAGGAGGGGGGTCGAAAACTAGAGGAGAGCGAAGGAAGCGAGGCGCGACACTGCTCGGGGAGAAGAGGGCAGTGAGGAGCGCGGCGCGGGCACAGGCAGCTCGGGCTGCGGAGAGGAGGGAGCGCAGCGCGGAGAGGAGGGGCTTGCGGCCCCGTAGAAATGTCAATCAGAGCCCGGAGCCCCGGGAATCTCCGCCAATCTGTTCGGACCTGACCTGGCTTCTCGCCGCCGCCGCCACCGCCGCCGCGGAGCAGATCAATAGGCGACCGCGGAGCGCAGCAGCGCGGGAGGCAGCGCGGCCCCAGCTCGGCCCAGTCCCCGATGCACACCGGAGCCCGCGGGCGGCGCTGAGTAGGGCGGCCCCGGAGACTGGGCCCCCTCTCCGTCGGTGCCCCGCGGGCCACCATGTCCTTCCCCCAGCTTGGATACCAGTACATCCGCCCGCTCTACCCAACCGAGCGCCCTGGAGCCGCAGGCGGCGGCGGCAGCGCCGGGGCCCGGGGCGGACCGGGCTCCGGAGCCTCGGAACTGGCCGCCTCCGGGTCCTTATCTAATGTGCTCTCGTCGGTGTACGGGGCGCCCTACGCCGCGGCCGCAGCGGCCGCCGCCGCCGCCCAGGGCTACGGCGCCTTTCTGCCCTATGCCGCGGAACTGCCCATCTTCCCGCAGCTGGTAAGAGCCAAAGGAACCCGGGAAAGAGGGGTTGGATCTGGGGCGCTTGGCGAGGTGAGCGCGCGGGAGTAGATACTGGGGTCCGGGCCACGCGGGTGGAGACGGCACGGCTGGAGCTCACCCGCGCTCCCTCCGTGTGTGTCCCCTTCCTTTTCCATGTGCGTACAGGGAACCCAGTATGAACTGAAGGACAGCCCTGGGGTGCAGCACCCGGCCGCAGCCGCCGCGTTTCCGCACCCGCACCCCGCCTTCTACCCATACGGCCAGTACCAGTTCGGGGACCCATCCCGTCCCAAGAACGCCACCCGGGAGAGCACTAGCACGCTCAAGGCCTGGCTCAACGAGCACCGCAAGAACCCCTACCCCACCAAGGGCGAGAAGATCATGCTGGCCATCATCACCAAGATGACGCTCACCCAGGTGTCCACCTGGTTTGCCAACGCGCGCCGGCGCCTGAAGAAGGAGAACAAGATGACATGGGCGCCCCGCAGCCGCACGGACGAGGAGGGCAATGCTTACGGCAGTGAGCGGGAGGAGGAAGACGAAGAAGAAGACGAGGAGGACGGCAAACGCGAGCTGGAGTTGGAGGAGGAGGAGCTCGTGGGGGAGGAGGAGGACACCGGGGGCGAGGGCCTGGCAGACGACGAAGAGGACGAGGAGATCGATTTGGAGAACTTAGACAGCGCGGCTGCCGGGTCTGAGCTAACCCTGGCTGGGGCGACGCGCAGGGACGGCAACCTCGGCCTGGGACCCATTTCGGACCCCAAAAATAGCGACTCGGAAGAAAGCTCCGAAAGCTTGGAGGAACGGCCACTGCCGGTCCTGAGCCTGGCCCCAGCGCCACCGCCAGTAGCTACGGCTCCGCCATCTCCACTCTCGCCCCCCACTGGCCTGGACCCCTGCGCCCCGGCACCAGCGCCCTCCTCCTCCCTGCAGAAACCCAAGATCTGGTCGCTGGCCGAGACGGCCACAAGCCCGGACAACCCGCGCCGCTCGCCTCCCGGAGCGGGAGGGTCTCCTCCTGGGGCAGCCGTCGCGCCCCCGGCCCTGCAGCTCTCTCCTGCGGCGGCCGCTGCAGCAGCCGCGGCTCACAGACTCGTCTCGGCGCCACTTGGCAAATTCCCGGCTTGGACCAACCGGCCGTTCCCAGGCCCGCCGCCTGGCCCTCGCCCACACCCGCTCTCCTTGCTCGGTTCGGCCCCTCAGCACCTGCTGGGACTTCCCGGAGCCGCGGGCCACCAGGCTACCGCCGCCTACGCTCGGCCCGCGGAGCCTGAGGGCGGAACAGGTGACTGCTGAGTGCAGGTCGCAAAGGGAGGGGTCTTGGGGGTCGTGCCCGGGCTAGCGCGGCAAAACAGGGCTCGAGGCCGTGAGGTGCTTTTCACTTCGCTCCTGCGACCCGCGGCCCTTGGCCCTGAACGGAGCATTCTAAAGGCCTTCCTTTTTTTCTCCCCCTCGCTTCTCCTAGATCGCTGTAGTGCCTTGGAAGTGGAGAAAAAGTTGCTCAAGACAGCTTTCCAGCCGGTGCCCAGGCGGTAAGAGTCCCCGGGTTTGGGGAGGTAGGTGGGGGATCCGCAGGAGGGAGAAGGAAAGAACGCAGAGTCAAACGCGTGGCCTTTTGCCCCAGGGGAGAACGTAGCTTGGAAGCATTTTTTAAAAGGAGGATAAACCACCTCCTCCGTCACTATCTGCCCACCCAGAGACACCTTGCCTGTCGTAGCCCAGGTACCCCAGGAGCCGCCTTCCTCTACAGAGCTTTGGGAAAGCCAAGCCTGGCCTGGCCAACAGGCCCCTGGATAGGGCGGCCACTGTCATGCTCAGAACCAGGGACCTGAGCCTTCTGCGGGTCTTACAGTTAGCCCCCCCAACACGTACATCGAAAGTGGAACATAACTGCTTTTGAGACACCTCTCTGAGCTTGATCCCAGCCACATGTATAGTCTCCCACCCTAGGCGGTCTCTGTGTCCCTAACTCTCACCTTTGCTACCACCATTTCTCTCTTCCAGGCCCCAGAGCCACCTGGACGCTGCTCTTGTCTTATCAGCTCTCTCCTCATCCTAGTTGTTTTTGAAACAGTTTTTAAATCGTTGTAATAATTGTAAAAACAAATCGCTGTGTATAGTTATGACTTGTAAGCATGACCGTGTATGAAGACCTAAAAAAGAAAACTAAACAAAAAGAAAGAAAAAAATAAAACCAGTCGTCCACAACCCTCCCCAAGTCGCTTCTGCGCCACCCCACATAAACTGATTGTGAAGTTCGTTTGTTCGATTGATTTGGGGTTGGAGTTTCAACGAGAATAAGCGTGTCTGACTCTTTTTGTATATACAGAAAAATGTACATATGTGTGAACCAAATTGTACAAGAAAGTATCTATTTTTGGCTAAATAAATGAGCTGTTGCCACTTTGACTATAACTGGCCTGTTTGCTCCCAGACGGATCTGCTTAGTGGGTTTTTATTTTTATTTCCCCCTCCCCCAACCCCGGTGGTTTGGAGAACCTCCGGAAACAGCGGGAAAGGACAAGTGTGGTCAGGGGACAGCAATGGCGGAGGAGGTGTAGAAGGGGCAGAGCTGGGGATAATGCAGCAGGAGGAGGTGGGTAAGTCCTGGGGGCGCCCAAGAGAAAGGGCAGAGGATGCAGGTGAGAAACCTGGATTAGATTCCCTGGCAGAAGCTGAGAAGCTGTATCCAATCTGCCGATCCGCGCGAGCAACCGCGGGGCCTTGGGGCCTTCTCTGGTGACATAGCAGAAATACTTAAGGAAGGGCCTGGAAGCCGAGAGCGCAGCTGGGAGGATCTGGTCCCTCGCCGCTCCCATTCTTTGACAGGCACAATTGAGGTTTTCTCAATCTTACCTATAAAGGGCCATGCGGATGCAGCTTGGGGCCTCTTTTACACCGCACTGAGCCCTCCAGACGCCTCCTTACAGATGCAAAGATGTGGGGTGGCGGTTTGGGACGATCTGGAAAGAAAGAAACTCATGGGTACAAATTTTTACCCCTTGGTGATGTATGACTGACTGAGTCGAGGGCCATCACTAGGTCTAGGCGCTCCTGTGGTTTTCCCCAGATGCCTAGGAAGGGACATCTTTCCGAGGACCCAGCGCTGGGTTGAAGTCGCACCTACACCTTTCCAACCAGACTGTGGCTGCAGGCGGGTGGGGGAGGAGTTGGGAAATTTGGGGCTGGAGCTCCCTCTACAGGACGAAAAGAACGCTAGGCACCTCGCCGGTGCGGCCTCTGCGGCCAGACACACGTCGCTCTCTCTCCGCGCCTCTTTATCACTTCCAGTCTTCCAGCCAGCCAGTCTTGTACAAATTCGACTCCAAGAAGTTGTGGGGAATTATAGAGAGAGTGACGTCTTGGGGTATGAAGTGGGAGACAACTTTTGGGCATCCCTGTCCTCGATGTTAATTAGTAGATTTCCAGACTGGCCAGATGCCAGGTGGGTTTTGGACCCGCAGAGCAGGGCGTGTGACATCTCCGGGGTTCTTAGGAGTTTTGGGAATGGGTGTGACGCCCCCGAAACCCTGGAACAATGCCCAGAGTAATGCTGTCCCTTTGAGAGTGCTGTCACAGTGGCCTGGGAACCCAGGCTGGGGCATTTGTAGTGCAGTGGCACGGGCATTGTGGAAGAGGAATATGTACCCCCCCCCCAGTTTCAGCCTCAAGAGAGATGGCAGAGACAGAGGTGGTCCTCTGGCAAGGACATTGTGTAGTCGGGGCTCTGTCCTCGAGCACCATCCCCAGAGGCTGGAGACATCTCCACTCCCTTCTCTTTGCTAAAAGTTGTTTCTGGGATTCACAGGTGAGCAGTGCAGTGCAGACCCAGGTTCCACTGTGGCTTTGCTCTCAGCACAGCCAGAAATGGTAGAACTTCAAATGCCTGGCCCTTGAACCTGAAGTCAGGACCCCAGGACAGGACCCAGGCCTCTGGTTAACACAAACTTTACAAAGGCATTATCTCCAAACCTCAGCTTGAACACCTCCCAAACTTAACTGTGGTGCAGGTAAGCTCCCCATTTACCTCCTGTGAAACTCTGGGCATGCAATTAACTGTTCTGTATCCTATTTTCTCATTAGCCACCTAGCAGGGTGGTTGTGAGGATAAAAACACATGTTCAGGGTGGATTCATGATAGGTGAGAGCACAAATGACCCTATCTTACATCTTCCAGAATCCCAGATTCCATCCCCCCCAATACACCTCACACTCTTTCCCATCAGACCAGCAAAGTGAGATATCTTATTTCTGCAAGTCAGAACCCTCTGTGACCTCCCAACTCAACCCAGGAAGAAGAGAAACTTCCCAGGTAAGGGGTCCACTGGGGAGAAGGCTGTGACCATGGTGGCCATCACAGAAGGTAGGCAGCCTCTGCAAGCTATACATCCACCAAGGGATGGATCCAAGAGATATCTGTTCAGAGGGTAATGGACAAGGAGGGGCTGAGCAGAGCTTGCACGTGTCTGATTGCAGGTCCCTGGGGCTCTATCCAGGGAAGACCCCAGGGCTGGATCAGCTTTTCTGATCATCAGATTCCAGAGTAATGGTCCTTGGACAAGACCAAGTCTACCTGCAGCAAGAGCAGCAAATGTAGGTACCAAGGGAGAGGTGGCATAAACCTGGAGATGGCTCCAGGGTGGGTATGTCTTTTCTTCACTTACGCCCTTCACATTGGCCCCACAATGTAGCCTAACCAAAACAAAGCAGAAACTCCAACCTTCCAGCAAAAGAAGGAAGGGGAGGTGCTCCCTGGTGGACTGTTGCATTTCACCAGGGAGCAAGTGTCAAGTGTTTCTTCTCCTCCCTGGGCCTTGCCCTGAGCCCTGTCTTACTCCCTCCTCTCAGGGACCCCAGAAACTGCCACCATCTCTTACTGTTTGTCCCTAAGATCTAAAGAAAATGAGAGGGGGGAGGAGGAGGAGAAGGAGAGAGAGAGAGAGAGAGAGAGAGAAAGAATATGGGTACCTCATCCCTGGTCCTGATTAAGCTTCAATTAGAAATAAAATATGTCAATCACTTGCCAGGAAGAGGCTTGTGCTGTTCGGGTTGGTTATGCAAAGCACTCCAAGGAGTGTGGAGATAATCAATTAGGTCAGAGGAAGGAGTGTGTGGCACTGCTTCTTCATTATCTGCAAGGAGCTGGGGGCGGAGCACTGCATTACCGGGCCAGGGAGTCAGAAGAGAATAAAATTATCTCCCTAAGTGACTGTCCACCTCTGGGATCCGCACATTAATGGTTTCCAATTGAATTTCTTTTCAAGGGAAAACGGAGGCAGAAGTGGGGTCCATCCAGAAGAGGGCATGGAAAGGCCAGGGCATTAGAGCACGGACTACCACTCACCTGCCCAGGTGAGGAGTGAGGAATGGGCAGGCCCCATCTACAGGGCTGGCAGTCCAAGGCACCACCGTCACAGGTTTGCCTGGGTTTTGGAAACTTAGGTTGAGGAGCAATTGGATGTCATACCTCTATTGATTTTGGGTTATTGGGCATTTTTGCCAGGGTCTCACCTACTTATTTGTATCCTTCTAGATGTGTCTTCTGCTTTCCAGAATTCTTGGTTGCATGTACCCTCTACCCCCATTGAGCAAAAATGGGCAATTGCAGGTGTGTTAAAATGTCTGTTTGACACTCACTCCCACTTGAGTGGGGACAAGTCTCATACTCTCTGTAGGTCTCACTTTCAACATCTGGAAAACTGGAGAAGGTGGGATTAGATGAACTTAACCTGCTTACAAATCCAACAACGTCCAGGGTTACTCATAAAGAAAAGAATGGGTCCAAAGATAATCATGGAGGTGAAGGGCCCTCTTGATCCTCATTGGCCAATGTCACCAGACCCAGCCAGCCATCTTGACCACATCCACCTATTGTGTGACCAACCTAGCTCAGATGTAGCTGCTGCTCCCCTTGGAAGAGGTTCCACCCCTCTAAGGGCTGTGTCCATTGTCTAGATGGGAAATCACCATAAAGGGATCCTTTGCTAGGCTGGGCACAGCTGGAAGAGGTCTTATGAGTACATGGCTTAACCAGGCAATTTTGTCTCCTCTCCTACCCTGGGAACATTTGACAATGTTTGGGGAGAACTAGGGTGGGAGAGGTATTGGCATCTCATGGGTAGAGGCCCAGGTAGCTGCTACAGGCTCAAAGAAATCCTCCACCACCAAGAATGAACAGGTGGATGGTTCAAGTGGCAGATGCCTGCCTAGCAAGCCTGAGACCCTGAGTTCAAACCCCAGTACCACTAAAAATAAAAAATAAAAATAAGGATGATCCAGGCCAGTCTCCCACCCTGGATGTAGTGATCTCTCCTGATCTTCTGTACCACACAGACCAGGCCTGCTGAGTACCTGGATGGGAGAATTACCAGTCCAAAATGTCAGTATGCTCGAGTTAAGAAATCATGAGGCTGGCCAGGTATCTCGGACAGTCACAACAAGTGTTTTCTTCCAGAAACCACAGTTTTGTTGCAAGAAACATTAAAACAGGGTGCTAAGTGCAGTGTTTTTGTTCTCTGAAAACTTTTGGCCCTGAAAGGGGGAAGTAGGACTTAGAGACAGGCAACAGGAAACACTGCAAGCCTGGGAAAAAGAAAGAGTGTGTCCCACTCCGCCTGGGGGTGGAATGTTCTTTAGCCAAAGGTGAGAGGGAGGGAATAACACCAAAGAGGACATGTGCCTGCAAAGCGGGGTTGGGGGGGGCTTCCTCCTTTGGATACTGAAGTCAGTAGCAGGTTATAGAAAGGTTCTCATAGTAGAAAGCTGAAATCCTGAGGTTTGGGCAGTGTAATTTCCACCACCCTTCAGCTGCAGCCAGCTCTTCTGTGCACATAAAGGCATCTATGTATTTTCTTGCTATTTTGTGTGTGTGTGTGCTCACATGCCATGGCAAGGAGCAGGAGGGAGACACAGGCAGGGTCAAGTCTGACTTTGGGCCGGAGGCCTGGATGGCCTGGAAGGCTGTGATTTCATGGCTTTTGTGTCGGGTGGCCAGCCCTGCATTCTCTCACTGCACTAGGCTGCTAACAAGTGGGCCGCAGCCCTCTAGGGCCTTTGGAGTGCACTCATCTGGCAGCCGGTGCTGCTCAGACGCTCAGATTTATTTTGCCAAAGTTACAGGGCAATTATGGAAATGCGCCCTTTGAAGCTGGGCTGATTTCTCTTTATTTCTTCTCCCTGACA